TCTGCCTCCCGGGTTCAGGCAATTCTCCTGCCTCAGCCTCCTGAGTAGCTGGGATTACAGGCACGCGCCACCATGCCTAGCTGATTTTTTGTATTTTTAGTAGAGACGGGGTTTCACCATGTTGACCAGGATGGTCTCGATCTCTTGAGCTCGTGATCCACCCGCCTCGGCCTCCCAAAGTGCTGGGATTACAGGCTTGAGCCACCGCGCCCGGTCAGATTGGTCTTAAACTCCTGGCCTCAAGCGATCCTCCCACCTCTGCCTGTCAAAGTGCTGGGATTACAGGCGTGACCTGGGCAACAAGAAGGATGGAGCTGCTAGGAACTGAGATGAGGAAGACTATGGGAGGAGAGAGATTGATAGGAGAGATAGGGATACATGTGTCAGCTAGACAGCTAATGGACCTGGAGCACAGATGGCTGGATACACAAGTCCAGGGTTCAGGAAAGATGATCTCTAGGTTGAAAGTATACATTTAAGCATCATCAGTACAAAGATGCTCTTTTTTTCTTTTCTTTTCTTTTTTTTTTTTTTGAGGCGGAGTCTCGGTCTGTCGCCAGGCTGGAGGGCAGTGGCGCCTTCCCGGCTCACTGCAACCTCTGCCCTCCAGGTTCAAGCAATTCTCCTGCCTCAGCCTCCCGAGTAGCTGGGACTACAGGCGTGTGCCACCACGTCCAACTAATTTTTTGTATTTTAGTAGAGGCGGGTTTCACCATGTTGGCCAGGATGGTCTCGATCTCCTGAGATTGTGATCCACCCGCCTCGGCCTCCCTTCCTCTTTAAAGCCTTGAGGACCAGATGAGATCACCAAAGGAAGCAAGTGTTTCAAGGAAGAGGGAGTGATCCACTAAGTCAAATGCTGCTGACAGACCACGTGAAGATGGGGCGTGCAATGAATGAACAAACGCCAGGCCTGTGAGATCTGCAAAGTACCAGCGATTATGGAGGGTTAACTGACAACAGATAGGGGCAGAGACAAGATGGCCCTAAGTCACAGGAACCCTCAGAGACACAGGGAAGGGAGGAACTATGGCATCCTGGAGTTGGAAAGGACCTTAACAAGGTCATTGAATCGGTACTCTTTGCCCTATTCTAGGCTGACAGTTGAGCCCCTGCCTGTAGAACAAGAAATATTTGCGGGATACTGAGGCAGACGGTCTGGCTAGATAGGTTGAAAAAGGTACCGTTAAAGAATGAGAGAAAGCGTAGTTCAGTCAATGCCGGACAGCAGAGGCAGGGTATGGGGGTGGAGATGAACTTCCGAAGTCAAGAAGCCAAGGTTCAGGCCCTGCATCTGCTGCCCCCCAGCCTCCCGTCCTTGGGCAAATCTCTTCATCTCCTCCAGCCTCAGTTTCCCCATGCAGCGACGTCTGAATATGGTAGTGCTGAATACGGGAGACAGTAAGTTCCCCGCCTGGGTTGGTTCCTGCAAGAGGGAGGGAAGGAGGCCAAGGGAAGCCCTTGGTTTGGGACAGCAGTGGGAATGGGAACGAGGAGCAAGTATGATCTCCGCGGTCGCCTGGCGCAGCGTGTGGACGCGAACCGGGATCCAGGCCAGGACCTGGGCTGGAATGGGCCGGGCGCGGGTGGCCAGGGGGCCGTCCGCAAGGACCGTAGCCCTGAACCTGCCTCCCCCGGGCCTGGAATGGAGATGGCGGACACACCGAGGCGGCAGCAGGGCGAAGAGGTAGCGACGCAGAGGCAGAGAGGCCGGGAGCCTCGGAGGCAGGGAGACTGAGACAGACTCAGCCGCAGGCGGCCTCGCGGGGCCCGCGGCGACCCGGAGAGGGCGAGGCCCCGGGACACGGACCGGCCGGGCAGGGCCGCCGCGCGGCGCAGGGTCCGCTGCGGGCCCCGTGGCCGCATTCGCCGGGGCCCCCGCTCGGGCCGCTGGCCCAAGACGGCGTTGGAGGGCCAGGCAAGGCGGCCGCGGCCCCGGCCCCCGCGCCGGCCCCAGCTCGGGCCCGGGCCCCCGAGGCCGCGCCCCCGCCCGCGGCGCCGCGCCTCCCAGGCCCCTGACGCCCGGCGCGCCCTCCCCCGGCAGCAGCGGCCGAGGCGCGGGGAGGCGGCGGCCCGAACCCAGCCCCAGCCCCAGCCCCATGGCGCGCAGGGACGCCGGCCGCGGCCCCGGGCTCCTCGCGCTGACCTTCTGCCTGCTGGCCGCGCGCGGTAAGGGCCGGCGCCGGGAGAGGCGGGGGCGGCTGCGGAGCGGGTTGGACTGCGGGGGCTGCGGGGCTGGCGGGAGCCCGGGCCGGAGCCAGTGCGGGACTCTGTGCCCTCGGCGCCCGCGCGGGGCCTGCGGCGGGGCGGGGGGCGTTCGCGGCGGGTGCTTGTCCGCAGTGGGCGTCTTTGGTTCGCAGAGCCTGAGTCGTATGTGAGGGGGGTGTGTGCGTGTATGTGTGCGTGTGCGCGTGTGTGTGTGCGCGTGTGTGCCCGCGCGTGAGTGTGCGTGTGTGAGTGTGCGTGTGCACGTGCGTGTGTGTATGTGCGCGCGAGTGTGCCTGTGTGTGCGCGCGAGTGTGCCTGTGTAAATGTACGTGTGTGTGCGTGTGCACGTGCGTGTGTGTGTGCGTGTGCACGTGCGTGTGTGAGTGTGCGCGCGAGTGTGCCTGTGTGTGCGTGCGCGTGTGAATGTACGTGTGTGTGCGTGCGTGAGTGTGCGTGTGTGAGTGTGGGGACTGCTCCTGCCGTGTCCGCAGTGCGTGCCACGGTCGCGGCGTGGCATCGGCGGGGCGTGTGGCTGCGGCGTCGGTGGCTTTTGCGGGGCCGGCTCAGCCTCCCCTGCGCGTGTCTCGGGTCAAGAGTGTGTGTGAAAGACGAGGGGACTGGGGTTCTGTGTCTGCACCTCCATTTGGGTCGGGTGCGTGTGCAATTGTGTTTATGGGGCTGAGCTAGTATTTGGCCTTGGCATTTGGGAAGCGTCCTTGCCCGTGGGGGGGACAGAGCGATAGATCCCGATTGACTTGTAGGGGAGGTGATAAAACAACACTCAACTTTGCCCAGTGGGTGTGGTCCCTGGGGCCGGCAGGAGAGGGCTTGGGGAGGTGTTGCTCCCCAAAACCTGTGGCTCGCAGTGGACTGGGGGAGGGGACAGGAAACCATTTGCTTTCGTGGACATGTCCAGCGCTGGTTCTCAGGATGGGACGCGTGTCGCCTCGGCCCCACCCCCAGGGGCCAACCAGGGAAGCATGGACGAGGTCAGCAGGGCCTCAACGAGTCCCCAGCCCAGTGTGGAGTGGGTACCGGCTGCGTCAGAGTTGTCCAAGCTGGAGAAAGGGCTCAGGAGGGGATAACGGAGTCCCCAAGGGTGTGTGTCTAGGGCCGGCCCCCTCTTCCACCCACAGCTCTGTCGCTTCCTGTCCGGTGTGCGTTTGGGGGGCAGCCCAAGGGGAGTGTAGGTGGCAGGGCTGGGAGGGGGATGGGCTGGCCGCTTTGTTCGCCTAGTTCTCGCCTTCCCCGCGGAGGGGGGAGCTGAGGATGTGTCCGGGGAGAGTCGGGAGGGACTTGGAGGTGGGGGTGGGGAGGGGGATTTCTCTCCAGCTGCCGCGGCTTTCCAGAGACTCCGCCAGGCCACGTGGGAGGGGGCGGGGGAAGGAGCCTCCGCCTGGCCAGCCCCAGGCCCATCTCCGGGAAAACCAAACAGCGGGTGGGAAAGTGCCGGGAACTGCCCGGACCCCTTCTGTCCCTACAAAGACACGCCCCTTTCCAGCCCCAACCGCGGACGAGGCTGGGTCTCGGCTGCTGGGCCAGGGGAGCTGGGGGCCTCGGCTTGTCAGGTGAAAGGGGCGGGGAAGTGTCAGAGGCGTCGGTCCTCCCCGAGCTCAGAGGATTGAGGAATAGTCCTCCTGCCCCACCTTCCGCTCTTCCTGGGGCTCCTGGAATGAGCTCGGGGTCACCCGGCAAAGCGGCTTCAGGGCTGGGAACCGCAGCGGCGCATCATCCAGCGGCTTTGGGGCCTCCCGCGAGGGGCTCAGCTCCCCCGGCCTCTCCCTGCTCCCGAGCGCACGAAGCAGGCGAGGGCCCGCGTTGCCGCGTCTCTGGGCTCCAGTGTGAGTCCAGCTTGCCCTGGTCGTCCAAAGCTCGGCAGGCCTGGGACACTCCCGTGGAATGTCTAGCCACCCTGATCTGTACCGAGATCATTCATTCATTCAACAAATATTCATGGAGCACCTTGTGTAGGCCAGCTTGTGCCTGGTGCCTAGACTATGGTAAATAAGGAGCAGACCTGGTCCCTGGCGCAAAGCCTTCAGTCCCATGGAGGGAGAAACCGACGAGTCCCCTGCAGTGCCAGGAGGGAAGGGCAGCAAGGGCTTCCTGAAGAAAATGATGAGCCGCAGAGCTCAACGTGGAGTTAGCGGTGTAGACGGAGGAGGACGATGGGGAACGTTTTCCAGAGAACAGCGTGTGCAAACGTGCAGAGGTGATTTCGTTTAGAGCATTGGATTAAACGAAATCTAGCTGGAGTTTAGGGTCCGAGGGGTGGGTGTGGGGCAGGTGGGGGAAAGACGGAAAGGGGTCAGGGAGTATCAAGAGAAGAGGCCGAAGAGAGGACCTGGATTTATCTCACAAAGGCTTTACAGGGCCCACCAAGATGTCCGGCCTGAGAGCCCCCCTGAGCCCTTGACAGGATTTAAGATCAGCTTTGCATCGCCTCATTCCAGCCAGCGTGGAGGATGGATGGGTGAGTCCTGAAGCAGGACGCTGCAGCTCCTTGGAGGCTGTGGTAGCAATTCAGAAGAGAGGATGGTGGCAACCAGCGCTGCGGCAGTTGGGCTTGGGGTGGCTGGAGTGGCTGGATTCCAGAGATTTTCAGGGACTAGAATCAGTGGGACATGAGGAGAGATGGAATTATTTGCAGGGGCGAGAGAGGAAAGTAAGACATAGGTCGGGCGCGGTGGCTCACGCCTGTGATCCCAGCACTTTGGGAGGCCGAGGCGGGAGGATCACGTGAGGTCAGGAGTTCAACACCAGCCTGGCCAACATGGTGAAAGCCCATCTATACTAAAAATACAAAAATTAGCCCAGCGTGGTGGCACACGCCTGTGATCCGAACTACTGGGGAGTCTGAGACATGAGAATTGTTTGAACCCGGGAGGTGGAGGTTGCAGTGAGCTGAGATCACACCACTGCACGACTCCAGCCTGGGCGACAAAGTGAGACTCTGTCTAAAAAAAAAAAAAAAAAGAAGAAGAAGAAGAAAAGAAAAAAAAAAAGAGAAAGAAAGAAAAGAGAAAAAAGAAAGTCCTCCGTATCTCAACATGGGGCAGAATGAAGGGCCAGTATTGGGGTGGGCATGATGCGGGAGCCTGCCTGTCTCCTCCCAGCAGTGCTCTTGAGTCAGGGACTGGGACCCCGTGTGAGGCAGTGGCGAGGAGCCAAGCTCTGTTCTTACCACGTGCACGAAGGTGGGGCTCTCGGCTCCCCCTTCTCCCCAAGCCGGAATTCAGAGGGTGGGGAACCTAGAGGTCAGTCATAGGAGGCCTGTGAGAACTTCAGAGCCCTCTCCTCACCCGGGAACTCCCCCCTCCCCTGTCCCCTTCTTGGCCTAGAGGCTCAGAGGCCAGTCTGAGTCATCTGGAGTGGGCCTCTCTCCCCATCTCGGAGGTTTGGAACCAGGTCAAACCGTGGGAGTTCCTTTTAATAATGAATCTTATCCAGAAGGTATCTAAACCTTCATTGATCCTCTGTGCTTTTACGGCTCAGTTAACTCACATTTACATGTAAATTAGCATTTCTTTCCCCTCAAGGTACCTCTTTCAAGTTAAGCGATCTACAATTAGGGCATCATTGAATGTCAGCACTGAAAGGAACTTAGAAATAATTTCAGGCCAGGCGCCATGCGTGGCTCACACCTGTAATCTCAGTTTGGGTGGCTGAGGCAGGAGGATCGCTTGAGCCAACTTTGAGACCAGACTGGGCAACATATTGAGACCTCATCTCTATAAAAACAAACAAACAAACAAAAAATAGTGTGGCAGGCCGGGTGTGGTGGCTCACGCCTGTAATCCCAGCACTTTGGGAGACTGAGGCATGCAGATCACGAGGTCAGGAGTTCTAGACTAACCACATCAACATGGTGAAAACCCGTCTCTACCAAAAATACAAAAATTAGCCAGGCATGGTGGTGTGTGCCTGTAATCCCAGCTACTCGGGAGGCTGAGGCAGGAGAATTGCCTGAACCCAGGAGGCGGAGGTTGCGGTGAGCCGAGATTGCGCCATTGCACTCCAGCCTGGGCAACAAGAGTGAAACTCTGTCTCAAAAAAAAAAAAAAAAAATAGCATGGCAAGCATGGTGGTGTGCGCTGTCGCCCTTGCTGCTCAGGAGGTGGAAGAGGGAAGACTGCTTGCGCCCAGGAGGGCAAGACTGTAGTAAGCTATGTTGCTGGCACCACTGTTCTCCGCCCTGGGCAGCAGAGTGAGGCTCTGTCTCAAAGGAAGAACGAGAAAGAAAAGAAGAAATAAGTTTAGCATGAGCCTGTTTTACAGATGAGAAAACGGAGTGACTTCCCAAAGTGACGTAATTAGGGACAAAAATGGGGCCACGCTTTCCGGGGGTTTGGTACACAGATACCCGATTTCACTTTCTCTGTAGTCCTCTCTGCCAAATGAGACGTTGTCAGCTTTGGGGTCTGCCCCTCCAGTAAGGCTCTCTGGGCTCTGGAATGCATCCCCCTCCACTTACCCCCACCCACCTCTTTCTGTTCCCTCCCAAGATACAGCAACCAGACTGTACAAAAAATTCCAGATGCAGAACAGATGTCATTCCCAGGCAGGCCTGGGGGCTCCCAGCTCCCAGAGGGGGAAGGGGAGGAGTAAGCTTGGCTCTGAGAGAGAGGACCCCAGCCTGGTCAGAGGGGAGTCACAGGAGCTAGGGGGCCAGGGAAGGAAAACCAGAGAGTATGTTCTGGGGCCTGACATGCAGAGAAATCAAATCCTGTTACCTGTGTCAACTGGGCTGCCAGCTTCTACTGCCTCACTGCTGAGGCTGAGTGAAGCATCATCTGGATTTGGGGGGCTATGGGGTCGCTGGGTTTAAGGAAGCAATGTCAGCCGTCCCTCAGATGCAAACCCAAGACTCCTGGATGGTTGTGTAAGGGGCTTTTTACCTCGTTAGATCGTTTGGAGGACAGAGCTCTGGCCAGTGAACAGAACGTACCGGGAGATACAGG